GGGAAAGGAGGGTTATCGGGCGATAAGACTCTCCTTTGTTGGCTGGCTTCCCCAGTTTGAGCAGTGGGACCACTCTCCCCATCTTCCAGATGTCTGGAATGACGAGAGTGGCCATTGACAGGTTGTGAACCTAGGCAAAATAGTCTACTCCCGCGGGACCCAAATTTTTCAGGATGTAATGTAAATTGCCGGCGAAAATAGCTGTCGTCGTGCTTTGTCGGATTGAACAGTGACCTCGCGGGTGACCAAAGCTTACTCACACCAGAGGCGAAGTTGCAAGTCTTTAGATGCTCTTCCCACTTCTTCCGCTTATGTACGTTCACAAGCTGCCGAATCTCCCTATTGAGATCCCTGATGTGGAAATTTCCGGCTTCGTATTTCGGACGATATTAATATTCCATGCCCGCCCATGAAGACGGTTATCTACTCGATATTGCTCTGCCGTTCCTTACAGTTAAATTGTAGCAGCTTTATGTGCCTTGGGAGTCCGATTTGGAGTAAATCAGCGTCTCAGTTATTGAAATATTGGAGTTTTCGTATATCTGAAATTTATCTTTATACGATAAACGGGTGTAATTTTAGTCCGATCTGAATAATTTTCAACGAATCGCTTTTCGGTACCAAGGTTAAGTGCACATTTGTGGTCATAAGTGGGCGGCGCCACGCCCAAAATCCAAACATTTATAATAAAAAAAATTCCTGATTAGTGGTAATTGTAACAATCGATTAAGTCAGTTAGCTTCAGTAGTTACTGATTTAACGCGGTTTTCATATTTCTGTAAATTACCGTTACATGGGAGGGAGGCGAGTTTATTGCCCAATTTCAAAAATTTTCAACCGATTTCTTAGCTGTATCCTAAGCAAGGCTTGTACCGAATTTGGTAAGGATTGGTGAAGCGGCTACTGAGATACAGAATTTCATCATAAGTGGGCGGGGCCACGCCCATTTTCCAAGAATTTCATAATAGTATTATTTTGTACCAAAACTACTTCACATACTAATTTTCAGCCATTTGGATCCAGTGTTTACTGAAATATCGTAGTTTTTGCATTTTTCGAAAATACCGTTATATAGGAAGGGGGCGTGTCGAGTTATCGTGTACACGGACGGACAGGCAGACATGGCTTGATCGACTTCTCTATTCATTCTGACCATTTATGTGTACATTTGTCTATATCTATCTCGATTCGTTTTGGCTGTTACAAACCACCGTTATGTGAACAAAGTTAATATACCCTTGTGCACAAGTGCGCTGGGGTATAAAAAATGTTCACCGGAATCGTAATAATGAGATTTTTGATGCTGTTTTTTTGTAACTTTTTTCAAAGATTGGTGTAAGAAAAACATGAATAAATGGATCAAAACTATTCCGATTTAGACTTATGAGGTATTATTGGAAAGGTATTTTCTCATCCTTTTTATTTCTTTTCAAACAAACTCATTCAAAGTATGAAAGAGAATGGTGGGATGAACGAGCGTCATTCCAAGTTGAATTAAGATCAGTTGGTATTTGAAAAAAAAAAAAAAAATTAATGAGAGTGGGAAAACACCTTTCAAATAATACCTCATAAGTCTAAGTCGGAATAGTTTTGGTGCAGTTACTCAAGTTTGAAAAAAGGTAAAAAAACAGCAACAAATCTCATCATTACGATTCCGTTAAAATATTTTGAAATATTTGTATGCAGATTTTTTAAGCTTAAACGGTTTTGTCATCTAAGGCGATGTTTTTCAAAAAGTTCTTTAAGAAACTATTTTTATCTAAATCTTAATATTTTTTCAAAATATTTTGGTGGACGTCTTCAAATATAATAAATTTTTTAATTCCGGCGCAACTTTTTTTGGTGATGCAGTCTAATGTACATATGTACATGCATACATGTGATTGACGGAAAACTAACGCCCGCACGCTCACGCCAGAAAAAATTTCAGTCACGCGCGATCACGACAGTTACTTATGTGATTTTTCTCTCAAACCCGCTCACGTGAAAAAGCGTGACAACGTGTCACGTAGAAAATCACGTCTTTTGCCCATCTCTAGTTCGAATATTAACATCTCAAAAATAGAACAAACTTTTGACAATTTTTCGAAAAATAAACAAACTCACCCTACTCATTGAAATTGTATTTTCTACTGAAGTGTAGAGTCTAGAAACGCTTGTCGTCTATCTATTGTCCGCGAGCCCCAATTTGAAAAACACTGCTATATATATGAACACTTTGTGTTATAGCTTTAAAATCAGCCGAATCAAGCGGCAATGTGTTGGAGTTACAAAGCCGTAAAATTACTACTTCTGATACTGGGAAGCTGTAAGCGCCCCATTAAAAAATCACTCATTTACTCTTTCTTCAGATTCAAAATAAAGAAGGTACTACCATGATTCAAATATTTAAAAGTAGTTTCACTTCTTCTTCTTAAACGGCATTGCTCCCATTTGACGTAAACTGTGCTTTTGACAGTTTATTTTAAATTGAAGCTACCATATTCTTAAAAAAAAAATTAAAAAAATATTTAATAAAATTATATAAAAAAAATATATTTTGAGCATTATTTTATAACGAACTTTAGTGATATATTGCTAAAATTAAATCAATTTAAAACGGAAGACAAGTAAAATACTTGTATTACAGTGTGTAATGCAAATAGAAGAACTGTTTGTTTATGCAATTATTTTCATCATTATTTCATTAGCTGCATATTTCGGGATGGCCATGTGCATGGTAATTTCACAAAGTTGGCACTTTTCGGCAGAAAATTTTCAGCCTCGCGATGGAGGTGCCCAATAGAAGCGACACGCGGCACCAGCAGCTGTTGAGCGAGTAGTTTATCTGTCAAACTCTAACAAGGAGCTCTAATAATTTGGATTTTTTTTTACCTCCCTCTTCATGACTACATCATGCGTTTTCACAAATAAGTTTGTGCTTCCATTGGCTGTACGCTACTTTTTAACCATTCCATTGTTCATATTTCCACTAAAGATGATCCAAATTAAAGCAACATTCTAATATGTAAATATCTAAAACTGCAGATAAAGTCAAATTTTTTTTTGCGGTAAGGTAATTGAAAGTATTTTAAATCAACACACACTTATTAACAGCTGCTCGCTAATCTACCTTGCATGTTATTATTTTTCAATGCATAAAAAATTCCTTAAAAAAATATTAAAATTTCCAAAACAATAAATTCTTGATGTGGCAGTGCTACTTGAGAAAACCGTGAACTTTATACTACTTTATTATGTAAAATAGCTCACAGAATCGAATTATTAAATCCCAAATATGAAAAATCTACTGAGTTTTGAGATTTAGCCAAATTACTGGGAAAACCATGATGTCAGTTTTTTTTCCGGAAATCGCGGAATCGCTATATGATGTTTTCCAATCAGATTATTAGTTTAAGAATTATCCGTTAGTTTATGGGAGAAATCGGGCACAATTTTAAGTCGCGTCGTTATTCTACTGCAAATTATACAAAAAAAAAAAAAAAACAAATCTTTTTTTTTAATTTGGCTATGATATTAAAGCTTAAAAAATTTCAAAGAATATAGAGCCAAACCTTTTACAAATCGGTTTGAAAAGAGAAAAATTAGATCAATTTTAGTACTAAATGATATTGGATTCATGCAACGTATCGATTTCGTACAGCGCATCTCAAAACCCGATTCTGTGAGTTAGTATTTTACATAATAAAGTCGGATAAAGTTGATGATTTTCACTTGTTTTGTATACAGCGTTTTTTGCCTGAATGGATAGGATTGGTTTTCCAAGTTCTCAAACGCAACGTGCAAGTACTTGAGAGTTATGATCAGGGAACGGATTTTTAGGACCTAAAAACCAATACAAAAGGCAAAATAAAATAGCAAGATAGGCGGGAAAAGGCACTAGAAATCGCAAAAAAGGCACAAGTAAGGCACTAAAAGAGAAAAACCGAAAAATAATCAAAAAATATATTTATTGTAGAAATGCTTATTTTATAAGTAAAATGAGAAAAGCTATGAACTAGAGTAGTTTCATTATATGAAAAATTTGTACTTTGAATCTTTGACTATTTTTCTCCTTCCGACTTTTTAACTCAAAAAACTTTAATCTCTATAGTTGTAGTAACAATGAACCACAAGTTGCATTCTGAAGTTTTCTGGCAGCATTTTTCGGTCGATTTTCTGGAATAAAAGCCTTGAATGTACTAAACGTGCGCTCGACGTGAATTGAATATGGAACGTTTAAAACTTTCATATTATCAGGAATAAGGGCTTTTTCCTTGCCCTAACAATTAAAGGTAGACAAGGCAAATATCTTAAAAAAGGCAGAAGATGACAACATCAAATGATAAATCATGGACATTCTTAATCGCATATACTGTAACTCCTTAGCAGAAAAAAAAGGCAATTTCCAACAGATCCGTTCCCTGGTTATCATATTCGAATAAAATTTTGCACAGCTTATTTTTTTCCGCCCGGTCTAATGTACACATATTGAAATATTATGTATGTTATGTATTTCTACTTTTGATTGGATCTTTTTATTATGAACTTCTTGTGGTTGGTGTTAAATGATGATTTAATATACATACATACATATGTACATATGTATGTACGTAGGTTAGAAAAAGTGCAGCGAAAGATGTGCTTAAACATGAGATTTATGTACATGTGTAGATATAGATAGAGAAAGCTAAATATACAAACTTGACACCAAGACACATACTACATACTACATACTTACATTTGGCGGACAAAGGCATTTTCTTTTGAAGCCTTTGTGTTTGTTTGTTAGGCACGTCTACAACTACAATTATTTATGCTTGTCTTAATAAAACATATTTCTCTATTGACTTACATATACATAGTTTTTTTTTTATTATTATACTCTTCTTAAAANTTTTTTTGTAAAAAGGAAATTATAGTTGTGTTAAGAAACAAAATTAAATTACACATACATACATACGTATCATATTTAGTATGTACAAACATATGTATGTATATATATATTTACATACAGTTTAGTGAAATCATATTTTACACACATACATACATACTTGTATGTAGCTAGTATATCGACCCTTAACTCGCTTTTAAAAGCCATATCTGCTCTTTAGTATTAACTCATGTTTTATAAATAAATAATTCGTTTGATAAGTTTTCAATAAAGAACTTACTTATATCGAGCACTTTAAAGCTTAAATTGTTATGGAAATACGCTCTAATTCAAAGCTGATTTTCAAATTTTCGTGAAACTTGGAAAAATTTCGTTATAACTTGGATGTTTTCTTGGATGTTAAATGTGCTCTCTTTTATAAGCGGTTAAATGGGTTAAAGCGCCATATAAAATCGCTTTTGTTAGTAAAATTTGGTAAATACACATTTTCCTTTTATAAACGAAATAAAAATTATTTAAAGTGTGCGTTTTCGTGTGGAAGTGCGTGTGTGTGTTTATGTTTGTGTGAACTAACCGCCGTTGGGCGTCTCCAGCGTAGCCGTTCGCATCGGTGCATCAATTTTCACATGTAAGCTGGATAGGGTCGTGTCAACGGGTATATCGACCTCCTGGGTGCCTATATAGGCGTCGGCGACAAGTGTTAGCTATTTGTTAAAAAAAAAAGTATAATAATAAAGAATTAGAAGAAAATTTGTGTTAAAAGTGCAGAGGAAGGGAATAAAATCAATGGTATTATATTAATTAAGAAATTTATATTAAGGTATTTTTGAAATTTATATTAAAATCAAAAACATAGACAACTATTCGATTTGCATAATTTAAATTATAATTTATCCATAGTGGTGGTTTTTCTCCCGTTACTGTACATACATATAGATGGTTTTTTGGCAAAACCTCGTATTTAAAAATACTTTTAAACAACACTATCCATAAAAAATCCTATAAATTTCACGAGAGCAGTTTAAGTGAAAAATGATTTTTTTATTTGAATTTAATATGCAAACTGACAAAAAAAAATCTTTTTTCACTTTAATTGCTTTCGTGAAACCGGCAGTAAGTAGAGGGAGTCAGGGAATTCTCGGACACGGGGTATTGTTGGACAGCAAGATGTTTTTTGCCCCTAAAATGCTTGACAGTTTCAACCAACTGTCATCAACTCGTCTCATGCTGTGTATACGCACCGTTATCTTGCTGCCATAGCAAATATAAATTTGATACTTCGAACGTTTTTTATTTTTTTACTTAGTACTTTTTTTATTATGACAAGAACCAACTCAGTTAAATACATTTGTAAAACTCGTGGAAGCTTAGGCCTCTGACGCAAAAATAATTTTGTATGAATATTGTACTGCGTTACCTACTTATACGCCGCGATTTTGCCGATTTAAGTTCGGGGAATTATTGGACACTGTCTTCGGGGTATAATTGGATACTTATTTCTTGACATTTGAGGGATTTTTCCACACAGCATGAGTCTTTCGGCAATTTCTAATAGTTTTTTGGACCGGTAAATTTTGGTTTAGCCAGAATGCCGCTTTATTATGCAAAACAAGGAGACATCAATGATTTCGGAAATATCCTGAAATCGGCCGCTTTGACATCGCCTGCAATTGTGCCTGACCTATGAAGAAAATACCGTCTCCGACAGACCGAAACTGACGTGGAAGAAGACATTGATCTCTGCATAATATGCAAGAAAAATATGCCGAGACAAGAAAACCGCCGAGACACAGCCCCTTGCATTGTTTGTGATCGAGGTGTTTGTTCACTAGAGTTGCACCGGAGCAAACCCGAATGTTCACTGCGATTCGGAATAGTTTTAATCGTAATTTTTTACTTTATTCTATTAATTATGATGTCGTCTTCTTTCGTTTTCGTTCACAAAGAAATGTTTTACATCAATAACTTTCATTTTTTATCGATTTACAAACTGTCCAATAATTCGCCGAGATTTTTCAAAAGTGCCATAACACAATTTTTGGGCCAACTGAAATAACATGCATAATTGAATATTTACAATTTGATCAAACTGCTGGTGGCGAAAGGTGGGTTATTTCCCGTACTACAAAACCAACTTAAAAAATGTTTAGTTTGCGAGTTTTCGACCAAATAAAAAAGTGTGTCCAAGAATACCCCGAGACTTCCCCTACTGTTTAGTTAATTAAGAATAAAATATAACGAATCAAAGTATTTTAGGGCCTAGTTTGAATTAATTTTTCGAGATACGATGTAGTAGTGATTTTTGAGATTTTGCCAAAGTATCGTCGATGTGTACATATGTATGTACGTCTGCGGAAACATACTGTATCTTCGCATTCGGAAGATTACACTTGTAATGTCGTCAAAATCGACTATTGGAACAACCACATTATTTTCAAAGTTACTGGATGTCACCCTTCACTTTGTTGACGTTCGTTCCATAACCTGGTTTCAAATGAATGCCAAACCAAAAAATAAAAAAAATATTTTCCATGGCATTCATTTCGGTTTTACATGCATGCATATACCTGCCTACATATGGGCATTTCCTGCGTTGAGGCTCAGTTACGTACATATATAGTACTTAGCATTGCATGGTCACTTAAGGAATGTGCTAAATGAGCTCTGCGTGCAATCCAAATTTTGTAGAGCCAAATAAGAATTAGTGTAAGCCATTACCCAACGCCTTAGATCAGAATTTTTTCCCCAAAAATAAACGTAACTAACATTTCATCCAACACAAATAAAAATATTTACCGTAACTAAAATGTAACAAGTTTAGAGCGGCTAAACTTTTTCATTCATATGTTTTTATACTTTCCCCCATATTTGCTATGCAAAAGGCCCTATTTGAAAACTTTTCAAAAATTCACGTTTTTGAATATTCTTCGTTTGTGGTTCGCAGATACGCGTTTATAACACTATTTAAAGGCAGAAATAGACTTGCCATTGCATGCTATTGATTGGCTTCGCTGAATTTGGTCTGGTTATATTTTTTTTTTTTTTTTTTTNGCACGGATGTGTATTTTTAACGCATTTTGAGTTCATATTTCATATTCTTTGCTGCTTTAACAAACGCATATGAATGCATTAACCAATCCGTATGCATATCTGTGTTCATATATACATACATACATACATTCGTTTTAATTGTGGCATGAATGTACATACTTATGTCCCACACACATATTAACATATCTAAATGTGTATGTGGTATGTATAGCCAGTGACTAACTTTCAATTTGATATATGCCATCAACTTCATGGTGCGTTGGTTTTTTCAAAATGACAGGTGTTTAATTACTTGATTTTGAATTGTTTGACCTAATACAATACAAAACAACACCAACAAGATAGAAGTGACAACAGAATTTAGCTCTCTTTATCTATATGGCTATAGTGTCTGTTTCCATACGATTTTAAATATTTTGATCTATGTTTGAGACTTCTGTCGCAGTTCAAAATATAGAACTGTCGAAATCGCTTCTACCTAGTTGAATATGCCTTTATACTACACAGTTAGCTTCAGATCACACCAACAAAGTCCAGTTAAACATTCCATTTTTGGCTCATAATAATACTCAACATTTGACTTAGTACAAACCAGCCTTAAGGATGCGCTAAAACTTTTGGCTGCGCCAGCTGTCGCTGGATGAGCCCCATAAAATATATAGTTAACGGAGCGGATGGTAAATAACCGTTACTGGTGTTAAGGACCTCATGCCTCTAACCCTAAGCAGAACGGATTACTAAAGAAAGCAGTAAGGATTAGACGTAGATTACACAAGGATTAGATATATGAGGCCCTTAACATTAGTAAGGGTTTTTAATTGAGTCGTTATTGCAGCGGACCACCGATATACGTATGTATATGTACATATCTTGTGCTTGGCGTGGAAGCTACTTGAGTTTCCGAACTCGCAATCACAAGTTGTAAGCAACAGTGGCAGCACTTATAGTTACCAGCTTGTAGCGGTATTTAGCATTTAAACAAGTTGACGCTTTTCGCTGCGATTTTCTGCCATTTTCACTATGTGACAGTGGATGGCGACAACCACTTTTAATAAGCCTATTTATTTTAAAAACTTGTATTTACTTGATTTACATAGCAAACATTGACTTGCTGCACTGGATGCGATTAACTATAATTACTACAAGACGTAGAGAAAGGTTTTCTCAGGCTGAGGCTAGTCAGAGCATACATACATATCTGCATAGATATGTGCATACATTAGACTGCATCACTCCCCGTCCAATAAAAGTACTGTGTTTCCATTCGAATTATAAAATCTATTATATTTGAAGACGTCCACCAAAATATTTCGAAAAAATATTAAGATTTACGTGAGCTGGACCGAGTTGAAAATACCTCCAAAAATGGAGTTTTTAAAGAATATAAATAGTTTCTTAAAGATTTTTTGAAAAATATATATATATATATGTGACAAAACGGAAAAACCGAAACTTTTTTTTTTGGTGATGCTGTCTAATGTACATACATATATATGCACATGTATATGAGGTTTTAATAATTTATCTTTTTGCTACTTAATTTTAGTTATTTTTATCTTTGTGCAATATTAAAAATAAAATTCAACAAACTTTCGTAAAAATGTTGAGCTTTTTAATTAGGTTTCTTAGAAAGATTTTGAGTACGCAGTTTTGTAGCCCATTAAATTTTATTATAATAAAGTGGAAGTTTGAAGTAGCTGGGATTTACCGTTAATTTTTAAAAGGTTTTTTTTTGACAGTGTCAGTAATTTTCTTCCATAAGAAGTGTGCATATTCAAAATCTTTTAAAGTACTTTAATTAAAAAGTTCGAAATTTTTGCGAAGGTTTGTTAATTTTTTGTTTTTTATTATTGCACATCGTCTCAGACTTGGATTTATTCGGTCTTTGTTAAAGAATAAATTATATATTTTTTTATAAAAAAAACTAAAATTGAATAACAAAAAGATAAATTGTTAAAACTTGTCAATATGTGGTGCGCTTATTTATAATTATGACACGGGGGGGTATACATTTATGTATGCATGTAAAAACAAATACATTTGCGACACTTACCGTGCTGCCCTCCAGTTCCTGTGAGTTTTCACTTCCCACAAGATGAAGTACTTCACCGCCCGAACGTATGGCCACCTCGCCAAGTATGCCTCCTACAGCTTCCTGCGTTTCATTTTCGCTTGCCGAGCGTTCACCATACCAGATGAGGTAGAGCTGTTGTTTGTAAGATATACATACGTACATATATGTATGTATGTTATTAAAATTTACTTAAAAATAGCAAATAATTTGGAAAATAAAATACTACTCATGTTGTTTTCTCGTTTTTTTACTCTCTTTTTTACTAACCCTTATGCGCTTTTTCAGCAGCGTTATAGCTGCATCCTGCACCAGCTCCGTGTGCGGTGGTATCACTGCGGTAGATATAAACACGGCGCTATCATATGGCACCAGTTCTGAAGCGTGTACAATGCCTATAAAAGAATTACCACCGTCGTGTACTTTGATGCCATTCAAACCGGCGAGGAATTGGCGGGTGTTATTAAAGCTATAAGCTGCTGGAATTCCTAAAAAAAAATGTAAAAAAAAAGAAAAAAAGATATAAAGGTGAAAATCAAATTTATCAATTTATATGGAGCAAACCATGCACGTACATACGTACATTCATTCTTTCTCGTTATGCTTTTGTTAAACAGATAATATGATAACCAGGCATGCGTGAACAACCGCAATACGAAAATATTCTTATTTCTTTTATTCACTGGAAGAAATAGTATACTAAGTATGTATGCATTTGTGTAGCCAGAGCTGGTTAAATGCATTTACATTACAATTACAATTACAATTACTCAGTAATTGTAATTAGAAATCAGTTCCTTTCGTCCATAGCAAAGAATTTGATTACTTTTCCAATTGCCTAGAAGTAATTTCGAATGTAATTTTTTCAATGTCATTACAATAATTGTAATTGGAATTACATAATTACGTGCTAGTAATATAATTACTAAACATGTCGCTCTCTTACAGCGTTTAAAATACATTTCCAGATATAACACATTCAAAGGAAAAGGGCTACACAGAAACCACAGAAGTTGCATTCTGAGACGAGCGTCTAATTTTCATGATATTGTACTAAAATTAAGAGAAACAGGTGTTGATACAAGGTTCTTTATAAAAATCAAATGAAATGAACACGAAAATATTTATTGTTGTCAGTGGTGGTTATGCCACGTCTAACTACGTCCATGTTTTTAAAATCCTAAATGCCATACATAACAAAGCTGTGGTTGATAATAACGGTTTGCAAATAAATATCTACATTAATATTAAATTTTTTGTTGACCAATATTTAGATGTAAATTTTTGCTTTTGTCACAAAAAGAGAAGACGGAAACACTACTTTTCTTGCAGTATCAACCAATTGACATAATAAGCTAACAGGACTTACAGATTTAACTTTATAAAGTGGTTTTCACTAGCATTTTTAAAATATTTCTTTGAATCGCACATGTTTTGACCAACACTGTAGTTTTTTTTTTACATAAAAAAATGGTGTCCGAAAATTGCTGAAGCTTTGTACATAGGCGTGTCTTGTCAACCAGCTCAAACAAATTATCGTCCAATAACCTAAAATAAGTTATCAAGAAGTCGGTAAGCATAACAGTTACTATCTTACTTACTTACTATAGGCACATTAAGTACCCAACGCGCCTAATGTCCTCTCGGTCAGTATACTTGAATGTAAACTTCAAAAATTTTAAATGCATATCTTCTAAATTGTAGGCTGTCGAGTCGCTTGGTTGTACCTGATACACGTTCTGCTTTCCATTAAAAGACATAACACCAGAAATGTCGCCCTCCTTGTTGCTACAACGTAGCCCATCGGGGTATTGCCCATTCATACAATCATCATTCATTCAATCACTCAACCTCAACTTATTTTGGCAACAAGTAAGTCATGAACTATACATACATAAAAAACATGTATATAAATACATACATATATGCACATATGTATGTATGCTTGATATGTTTACTATTACTATTTTGTTTACTCACCTGAAGCATTCAGCGAGACCAACACAATTTTTATATTCAGATTGGTGCGTAGCGCGTCACGCCACAGCGCCTTCGTCTTGTCCAGCGCATCTGCCGATGGATCGACAATAACAGCTAATGGCATTCGTATGTAGGCATCTTCAATGTAGTTGCGTAATTGTTCGTGCGGCAGCAGCTTGCGGCCGCGTGGTATATTTATTTGTTTACCCTGCTTACCCAGAGGGCGTATGCTGGTTATTGTCATCGTTGTTGTTGTTGTTGGCGTCGTCAGTGGTATTGTTGTAGTTGGAGTGGCAACGGCAGCTGATTCCGCTTCCAAGCCTGTTGCCGAGTTTGTGGTTACCGCAATGCTTGGCGCATTAATGTCGATAGAGTTCTCGTCGAATACTGGTATTGCCACAGTTGTTGGCGCAGCTGTGGCGGCCATTACTGTTGGACCATTTGTAGTCCGAGCGGCGCCACGTACTTGCAGAACAGGTGGATGTGCACGCGCCATATCTACGTTTGGAAATTGATATAAATCGACAGCGGAACGCGCTGATGTTGGCTGTGAAGCGGTCGGCGAAGGCGTTAGTGGCAGCGCAGGTGCCATCAGTGGTCGCATCGCACCTTCCACGCGTTGGTGCATTTGCTGTTTCTCAGAAGAGCTGTCCTGAGAGTCCTCGTAGTAGTCCTCATCATCTGAGCTATTCGGTTGTAAATGCTGTTTCCTTGACTGTAACGCAGGCGATCGATGTTGCTCCTTCTGCGATGGTGGCGCTGGCTGCTGATCCTTCAGCGTGTTGTCATCCGTTTCTGCGTGATTATACAATTTCATTGCGATTGGATTGATTTTATTTGTCTTGGTGGCTTTTTCATTCAAATGCTCTTCGTCATCCACATAGTCGGAGGTTGAGACGTTCGCGTCAGCTTCCTCTACTGACACAGTGTCGCTAGTTATGGTGCGCGGAAATTGCTCAGCTTTTCCCTTTCGCACATAGGCTGGTATCATTGTACTCATGGATACGGGCAGCGCTGTATGCGGCGAGGCTATGGGCAACTTGGCTGCTGCGAAATTAATTAAAGTACTGCTATCCAACATTTCGTCGTCCGCTGAGCCGGCCAACATGTCATTACTGTGAACTTGTGTCCTTACTGCATTCAACGATTCATTGCTCATTTCTCTTCGCTTTGGCGATGTCGTTGACGCAACTGCCGAGTCGGCATTATCTTCTCCGTCCTCCATTGCATCTAACAGCTTCTTGTGCCTGTCATGCTCATCCATGTCCTGTTGTAGAACAGCTGTTTCATAAATCTCATCATTACTGTCCATTATTTCGCTATTAGCTCCACCGCTACCAGTACTTCCACCACTTGTCCCCAATTCGCCACCACCGCCGTCGGCATCATAATCGGGCACATTGGATTGGTGGCTAGAAGCGGTTAATAGTGCAAAGATAACAAATATCAAGAAGATGGACGTCAACTGTGTTCGCAAGCTGCTGCAAGGGGAAGGTTTGTTTGAGTTGGTGGATAACATTTTCTTGTTTGTGTGTGAATATTTGTCCGTATGTACTTTTTAAAGTTGCTATGATTTTGATTATTTTTCTTTTAATTTATCTTTATCTTTGCTCTGATGTGTTGGTCATCCTTTCGATCCAAGATGTCTTTTTAAACTGGAGAAAGAGAAAAGAAAAAGTTAATAAACAAGTAAAGGCAGTGGCTATTACACTGGCGGCAGAAATAATAGACTCGCCTTGCACTTCATTATACTAAAATTGAATGGGCTATGAAACTGCATATTTACTCGAACAGTTTCCAGAAACTCTGAATAAAAGGTTGAAAATTTTGATGAAAATTTTTTGAATTTTTTTGAACTTTATATTAAGTGTGAAACTTTGATTTATGTATGTGGTTTATTTGTATTATAGAATGAACTATGTATATTTTCATAAATAATGAATGCAAAAAAAAATGTTCATGAAATTAATTCTGAATTAGTACAAGGCGTACACTTTTATTTGTTGCCTAGTGTATGTATGTACATAGCAGGGATGTTGCGAATATTTGCATTGCATTCGTTATGCGAATGATTCGCATCATTTTACATATTCGCTTCTACATTCGCATTCGCATCAAATGATACGCATATGTTAAAGGTTGTTCAATTTAATGTTTAGCTTTTTAACAGGCAAAACAATCATTTTACGCTGCTGCATTTTGTAGGAAATAGAAATGGGCTCAAATGTGTTCTTCTGATGAACTGTCAAATATTTCAGTGCTATTCATATTTTACGTAGTTGTATTAATAATAGCTACACATTTTAGTTAATTTTTGTACTTTATTCGTCGAGTGAGCAATAGGGTGATTGAAAATTGGAATTTATTTGAATTTCGACTGAGAACGTTCGGATTATTGAAGGTAATAGGGAAGGCAAGTTCATTCTAAAATTTCAAGTTATTTGAACAAGATTTAGAGGTCGCTCAACGCTGTTATTTGTTTTCCGGAAACTGCAGATTTTAAATGCCACTTTATAAAGAAATTGGTATGTTTTCATCAAATCTTGTCGGATTTCGTTGAAATTTCGTAGGTAGGTTCCCAAATATCGGTTCATTAGAACACGCAGTTTATATAAGTTCGATAAATTAGTTTTAAATACATTTATTAATTAGTTAGTAACTAAGTTTAGCCTTATACAAAATTAATATTTGCAATAATTTTTTTTTTGTTCCTTAACCAGTGAGCATATGCTTAATACATCTAAGATCACATTACAATTCATACCAATAGTGGAGACCTCATCATTAAATATTACTAATCATCAAATAAAAAAATCACCAGATAAACATCACTCATACGCCATGTTGAATCCACGTGTTTTCCTAATCATTGCAAATATTAATAGTATAATAATAATATTTTGGCGCTTGCACCTTTGCCAAGTGTTTGGCCGAGCTTCTCCTCCAATTTGTGGTGTGTGTCTCGATGTTGTCACAAAAAGGCCACCTACCTACAGCTTTACGCCGCCTCCGAACGGCAAATGGCTTTTGTGAGAAGCTTTTTTAAGGCAGAAATACACACGGAGGCAGTGTTGGGCGTTAATCAATTAATTTTTCTATCATACTACTAATACCCAAACAGCAAACAAAAAAAAAGAATTGAACAGTGATACGTTTTCAATGCATTTATTTAGCCTTTGTGTTTATTTCAGATATAATGATGACATACAACTATTACACACGGTTCAACTCTTTAATAACTGTTTTTTTTTTCACTTGGAATAGTTTCTCGGTGCTTCCGAACTGTCAATAACAATGCTTGTTTTCGCTCCTCACTTTTGGCATGTATGTTGTTGAAGGTTTGAGCGAGCGCCACTCCACGCTCTGCGGTAACGTTTACAACTTTTAAATTCCTTATTAGTGAGCGACATCTAAATCTTATTCAAATAAGCTGAAATTTTAGAATGAACTTGTCTTTTCTATTATCTTCCAAGAATCCGAACGTTCTCAGTCGAAATTCAAAAAATCGTATACACTTTTTGTTGCTGATTTGAAGCGCATTTACAAAATTTATCTCGCACGTCCCATGTTTGAGCAAAAAAAGTTGAAGTGTCGAAAAATGTTAAACATGGCAAATTAAAAAAAAAAAAAATCAAATATAATTTGGACGTAGTTTTCCGAAGAAAGAAAAACATGTATAAATGAAAATTCAATTCGTGTCGATGAGTTGATTAGAAATGAGTGAAAAATTAAAAAAAAAACTCAGTTCTTCAATAGCATGCACTTGTTTCCCTCAAATACGAATATCTCAATCTATGAATTAATTTTAAAAACAAAGTAATTTCATGTACAAATCAATATCAAAGATTCATTGTTTTAATGAAAAGCTTTTTCATGGCAGAAATAAGTACTCTCGGAGGTTTACCACTGCCTGTTGAGACTGAACTTTATTAGAAAAAAATTTTTTGGATCGAACCTTGGTACTACTGGGTGGAAGTGCGTGCCCCTAATTTCTTGGCCACAAAAATTATAAAAATTCAGAAATTTTCACCTAAATTCCAAAATTTTTCATTCAGAATTTTCGGAATGCAGTTTTCTAGCCCATTCAATTTTAGAAAAACAATGTGCAAGTTTCAAGGCGCTAAAAATTACCGTTGATTTTTTGGAATTGTTTTGTAGAAGGTGTTGCGCATTTTCTTCTATATTAAAATAGATTTTTATCATGCTTTATATGGAAGAAAACGCACAACACCCTAAAATTGAATGGACTATAGAACTGCATACTCAAAATAAAAATAAATAGTTGAAAATTTTGATGAAATTATTTCGAATTTTTGTAAACTTTATATAAAGTGTGAAACTTATGGTTTACATCAGTGATTCCCAAAGTGGTGCAGGTGAACACCCATGGGTACACGGGAGACTCGGTTCACTCTGGTTTCGATAGTAAAGAACAAAAAGGGTTGCTTGGTTTTATCTTATCAATCAATATACATAGGTAGATAATATACTACTCCAAAAAATTAAGGGGGCAAAAAAAGACCAAAAAATTGTGGTATTGAGACTTATAAAATCCTTTGAAGCTCTAAGATAATAATTTTTTTTGTAGTAGTGCATAGTGCTCTATTTATAATGTTGGGTTCCCTCAGGCTGAATGCTGGTTTAATTCCAGCACTGAGTCCGGACTCACAGATTGTCGAATCTTCACTGATGGCTCCAAAACTGAGATCTTTATCGCTGTGAATAATGGGAAATAGGTGGAGGGGAAGGACAGCCAAGCTGCAATTAAGGCTTCGGCCAGCCCTCTAACTAAGTACTTGCAAACTAGTTCGCCAATGCAAGTTTCGACTAAATTATATTGGTAAACATAACGAGCTTGCTTTAATTTGGGTGCCAGGTCATTCGTATCTGGCAATGAGACATCTGACGTTGGCCCGAGTTGGCTTAGACCAGGCATTATTCCTTGATCCTCAACCATCTATGGCACTCCCCATTTCAGCCATCGAAGCCACCATCAGAAATAATGACTGGGAGGCATGGATGAGCAAAACTCATGTTGCCGCCCTCAATCTCAGAAGGTCTATCTAGTTTTTTTTTTCTCTCACTGAGCAGACGAGACTGCAGTCAACTTGCTGGACTGCTGACTGGAACAAACACCTGACTGTGATATGCGTGAATGACAACTCCATTTGCCCATCCTGCCTTGAAGAGGACGAGACGGTGGAACACTTTTTGTGCTTCTTGCCTGCTTGGTTGTTTGTCATCGATTTTTCTAGATTCGGCCTTTTCTCTGTTGACAGTTTCTGAATTTAAAGTTTGGCGAAAAAAGCTTTGCGAATTCGTTGTTTCAAGCTTAAAGTTAAAACGAGCGATAAAAATAAAAGTGATTCCATCAATACAAAACCTATTTTAGAAATACGCCACGTGCAAATTCACGAGTGCGCAGAATATGTAAGGAATTTATGGTGAAGATAATGTAAATAATGCTAGCGCTCGGAGTGCTCTTAAAAAATGTAACTCCTCAGAGCGAGAGAGTACTTTGATGGCTTTATTTCTTGAAACAAATTATTTTTTTTAAATAATACACAAGAACATATTTTATTTTTATTTTTGCCACTCCGAATTTAGGTTTGGAACTCCCCGCGATTTGAGAGTATGTTAGAAATTATTATAATATTATATTAGAACAAGGAGGACACTTTCATTTTTCGCCTAGTGTATGTATGTACAAGTCGCTATCGCTAACGCCCTGGTAAGCCACCGGCCCACTCCGGTTAAATATGTAGCTATGTTGCAACCGGCTTTCTTTCGCTTTGACCTTGAAGTGTTGTTTTTGTTGTTGTATGCATAAAATATATAGTCAAATGGATTAAATATGCATTTTTAGAGAAGAGATAACTTATTAAATAAACTGGTATTGTATGGGGCATTTTTAAGTGCTATTTGCAAGCCGCATTGTTCGTAATTTGTTGCCGTGGGTGCTCCGTATGGCGTCGTGCAATAAAGCCATAGTAAATAACGACTTATGGCTTTATTTCACTTCACATTGAGAAATAACGCCATATTTTTGCGTATGGTCTTATTCTCACTGTGAAAGTGAAATAAAGCCATTTTAGCGTTACTGCACGTTTGATAATTTTTTGTGTAATGTTTACCTAGTGTGCATATAAAAAGTAACTCGGTAATTCTCTAGTTTAAGGTACAACTTGCAATTTTTTTATTAAAAACGAGTAAACAATATTCCCGAACTGAAAGGAAAATATGCAAATTGCATATAGTGCTGCGAATTTATTTATATTTCGTAATAATTCCTTATATGGCGTCTGCAATGTTGAGTACTTTTCGGTTTTGTCAATAACAATTTTATACACACCTCAATTTTATATACATATTTACATCTTACCGATTTAAAAGAAAAACTCATAAAAATATATGCACACAAAATTATCGTATGTTACATTTTTTACGAAATTCACTTTTAGATACAACGTTGTTTTACAACCCATAACGCATCACCTGTTTAAATATAACGGCTTAAATCCCAATAGCTACCGCAAAAATTGACTGTAAATTTTATCGTATGTGACAATGAATTTTTTCTTAAAATTATTTTGGCTACATTTCTTTATTCATTCTGAATGTTTGGAATAAACTTTTCTGTTTACTTATTCTTTAG